ATAGATGTTAGCTCAGAGCCGGTCTTCCTCAGCAAAAACAGCAGGATTAGCACGGATGTTAGCTCAGGGCTGATCTTCCTCAAAAAAAAAAAAAAAAAAAAAAGGCAGGGAAGAATTGCTGTGTCTCATTTGAAAAATACGGGCACTAGACTAGACACTTTCTAAAGGAACCTCCACCTTTAAAATCTGTGATGACCATGATCTATTATATAGCGAGCCCGCAGGGTCTAAGGGTGCTTATTTGCCCTCACACTCAATGATCCCACGTGCTTTGTAGTTCTGATGCTGCCCTCCATTGTGAGCTTTCCCCTCATGCTGTTGTCAATATGCCGGGGAAAAAAATTAATTTCCTGCCTTATTCCACACCTAGCATTTTATGTATAGTCTGAGGGAGAATCTGGGAGTAATCTTTCCTGTAGTATTAGAATGAGGTACATGGGTCTTGTCGCAATAAGCTGCTTCTTGGAGGCATTTGTCACTTCCAAGTTTGCGACTATGACAGAGGCCCCCAGAAGGCTGGCTTCCAGGTAAGCAAGGTATTACATGAATAGATTTGGATATACTCCCAGTCACAGTCCATTCACGTAAGAAAGTACAAGTATTTGTGGGGAAAAAAGTTGGCTGTAAAGCATATTTCCAAGTTTTACTCTTCCTTATTAATTTTCATTATAAACTTGGAAATGTGTTTCTAGGGAGAATTTTTGGCCCTAAAATGTAATAAAATCACACTGCAGAATGCAGCAGACCTTATAAAAGCACATATTCAAGGGAAAATTCTAATTTTACAGCACACTTTTGTGTGCAGCTTGCGTGCCTTACTTAGAGCAGTGAGGGTGTTTGGGTTTGGCACAACTGCTCAAAAAGTCTCACAGAAACCCATCTGAAACCCTGAAAATCAGGCTGCAGCTCTCCTCCCCCAGCCCAGAAAAAGGAGCACATGGGAACAACCACAGCTGAGAAGACCAGGCACTGTTTGAGTTGTTTAGCTCCTTACAGCAGCTTCAGGAAGGCTGCCGGCCTCTAGCAGCACCTGGCTGCCCAGGCTAGAGGACACCCAGTGCAGCAGGAAGGGAATGGAACAGAAAGGTTACTGCTCCGGAAGGCCCCCTGCAGTGACGGGATGCCACTCTGGTGATAGCAGTCACTGTGATGTGGTTGATTGGGCTTCCTGAAAATCCCAGCCAGGGGTTTCCAGGTAATGTCCGTTGAACTAGTTTTTTCACTTATAATTTCCATAATGTATGTGCCTTACTTAAAAAAAAGTCTTATGCAAATATCTGGGTTGTAAAGGTAAAATAGAGATGATTATTTGCATTATAAAAGGATGATTCCACTACAAAAAATTCGCATTAGATCGTCTATAAATAAAGCATTTAGGGCCGGCCCCGTGGCTTGGCGGTTGGGTGCACACGCTCCGCTGCTGGCGGCCCGGGTTCGGATCCCAGGCGCGTGGCGACGCACCGCTTCTCCAGCCGTGCTGAGGCCGTGTCCCACATACAGCCACTGGAAGGATGTGCGGCTATGACATACAACTATCTACTGGGGCTTTGGGGGGAAAATAAATAAATAAATAAAATCTTTAAAAAAAAAAAAAGCATTTAAAATATGGTGTGTGGGCTGGCCCTGTGGCTTAGCGGTTAAGTGCGCGCGCTCTGCTACTGGCAGCCCGGGTTCGATCCCGGGCATGCACCGACGCACCGCTTCTCCGACCATGCTGAGGCCGTGTCCCACATACAGCAACTAGAAGGATGTGCAACTGTGACATGCAACTATCTACTGGGGCTTTGGGGAACAAAAAAGGAGGAGGATTGGCAATAGATGTTAGCTCAGAGCCGGTCTTCCTTAGCAAAAAGAGGAGGATTAGCATGGATGTTAGCTCAGGGCTGATCTTCCTCACAAAAAAAATAATAAATAAATAAATAAATAAAATATGGTGTGTGCCTAAAATTTTGTTTAAATACAACTCTGGGGCTGTTGTTTTAAGCCAGGTATACCTGAAATGAGTGAATTTTTATATTTGGACTTCCTGAATCTTGAGACAAATCTGCCTATCAGCTTTCACCCTCTTACTTCATTTTTCCTTTGCACATTTTTAGAGGGAAAAAATGCATGTCAACTCACACTTTTGGGGATCCAAATTTTCCCTGTTACCAGTAACTACCCTTTTCCTAACCCCTGCATCTTCCCCTTGCTTGAAGTCACACCTGGGGGTTTCTTACTTCTACTTGGCTCCTCTCAGAGTTTTATTCCAATTCTTTTTGTCTAGGCACCCATGATATGGGCTTTACAAGTTGTCTAATATTGAAATGCTCTGCTGAGATTTCCAAGGCTGTGAGGTCCCTGCTCAGATGGACAAAGCCAGTATGAAGGCCTGTAGCTCCCACTTTTATCCTGTTCCATTTACCTAATGTGATGTCAATGATTCAGCAGAAAAGAGAAGAGCCTCTTTCTTCCTCATAATCCCATTGCTTCCTTTCCTCCCCAGTGAGAAAGTGGCGTGTGAAAAGTGCCCTTGGAGCCTTGGGCCAGTGGCAGATTGAGGTGGGAGAGCCAGCACTCCCAGGAGCAGGGAGCCTGGGGCCTGAACTCATCAAGGAAAGCAATGCCAATGTATGTCTATCTGTGAGGTGTCTTGGGGAGGCTGGGGTGGGAGAGGGCTGCTGGCCCTCGCAGGCAGGCACTGTGTCATGTTCACCTCCTCATCTCCAGTGTGCCCACCGGACACAGTGCTCTAGAAATGTTTGCTTGAGTGAATACCCAAAGGGTTTTGGCTTGTTCATCCCAGGGCGAAGGCTCCAGGCCTGGAATGTCACAGCAATAGCAGCATCAGAGGGGAACTGTGGAGAGCTGCGAGTCTCCCACTGTGCCCTCCAGTAGAGCTTTGCAGAGGGGGAAGCCATCCCTTCCTTCCTTCCTTCCTTTCTCCAAGAACAGTTCTTGAGTTGGATTTGCTTTCTGCAGCCCATCTTCATGCGCAAGGATACCAAGATGAGTTTCCAGTGGCGGATTCGAAATCTCCCCTACCCTAAGGATGTTTATAGTGTCTGTGTGGACCAGAAGGAGCGCTGTGTCATTGTCAGAACAACCAACAAAAAGTAAGTGTGTGATGGGCACCTGCCTGCCTGTGTAGGAGCAGGATCAGGGATGGTTTGACCTGGGGTTAGGGCTCAGACTGCTCTCTACCCCAGAGGGCAGAGAAGCCTCCCCCTCCAGCTCTGAGGAAGGGAGGAGGGCTGTGCTAAAGCCCCAGTTAGGCACTGAGAGCTGAAGGGCTTCCTCTCTGCAGAACCAGCTTGAATAATGTAATCTGCTCCATCAGGGCAGGGAAATTGGAACAATGAGCATTTAGTCCAGTACCTGGCACATACTGGGGTTCAGTAAATATTTGTTGAATGAATGAAGGGATGAGGGAATCACCTGGCCATTAACAGTTACAGGACTTTAAAGTACTGGTCTAGGGGCAGCAAACCTGATCCCTCCCTGGACTGAGGGACAGTGGGCAGTTTGCTTCGGCCTCTTGCAAGTCTTTTGCACTATGTTTCAAAAGGAATACTCAACTTCCCTTTACTCCTCTCCTTGTGGTCTGCTAGAGGGAGGCAAAATATGGGGTTGAGGGGACAGAAGGTGGCTAGGGTAGAGATTTGATCTTGGTGGGGCTTCTGGGCTGACCTATCTTAGAAATGCGTTGGTCCTATTTGGGTTTCTGGAGCTCTGATCACAGGAGAAGAGAAGAGCCCTGTAATGAACTGGACTTGACCTGGGCCACATTGCAATATAGGACCAACTCCCTTAAAATAGTTTTAGGGCATTGAGATGGAAGTTTTATGAGTTACTGGTCCATAAACTGTGAAGCCACCCAACATGCCTCATGGGGTGCTAAGCTTAGGCCAGAAGTGACCCCACCCATCCACTGGTTTACATGCAGTAAGGGGGACCCAGCTCTTTGTCCATCTTCTCAGATGGTGTGGTGCCAGCCTCCCCTCCCATCTCCTTCAGGTTCAAGAGGCCCACAGGAAGCAGCGTGGCTCCTAGGCTTCCCCACTGCAGCCTTGGGTTCCACCCTCCTCTTATGAGCCCCACACCCTGTTACTTTGGCAGGGTTAAGGGGATGGGGAAGGGGTGGAGATAGATGAATTAATTTTGGGATTATTGCTGTACATGCAGCCAGTAGCCCCTGCAGTGGGCCTTGTCTATAAATATAAAGTCATAACAATAAGAGTTTGCATTTATAAAGCACTTTGAAGCCCTCAGATAAAAAGCAGTTTATTTCCGTTACTGTTTTCATCATTAACAAGAGTCAGCACCTAAAGTGGAATTTAGCAATTTCAGACAACAGAGAAATTGCCTTTAGGAAAACAAACTCCATGCTTCAGCAAGCATTCCCTGGCGTAAGAGGCCCTGGGTCCAAACTGGGAACAAAAGTGCTTCTGATAGCACTTGAATCTGCAGCCCAGCAGTTTGTGGAGCTGGCTGCTGCCTCCCTTTTGTCCCCCAGAGGTCACTGTCGAATACAGATATCAGGCAGAAATGTGATTACCAGGGATTGAGAGAAGAGAGGCTAGCTAGCTCACCAAAATCATCTGCAGGCAGATCCTCTGGGTCCCATCTCCTGCACATATCCAGCCGTAGGTGGCGCTGTTGGCCAGGAGCTCCATGGCTAGAGGCCCACTCCAGCACCCAAGGCAAGGTGGAGATATTTTTGAACTGATGGGTGAGGCCAGGTGGAATGGGAGTAGTGCCCCGGGACGGGGCAGGGGTTGGATTCGCACAGAAGGGAGAGGAGTATGTGAGTGCCCACTTTGGAGCCCACACTGAGCCTCTTGTTCAGGCCCAGCCAGGCTCAGCCCAGTCTTCCTCAGGTCCCTCTGCTGGGAGGTAAGTGAGAGAGGCCACTAACCCTTAACCCTTAACCGCCTCTTTCCTGAGCCTAGTGGCCTTTTCATCTTCTACCTGGAGTAGTAATGGGTCTTATACCTTTACTACCACTAATTAAACAGAACTCAATGGCTATTCCTTTGAGCAGTGTTTAACTTTTTCAGGATACTTTAAAAATCTGTTTTCTGATCTTCACACCATGCAGTGGTGGGTGAGGTACCTATTTTTATTCTTGTGTTGTATATTAAGGATTATGTAAGTGTATCTGTAAAGTCAGCATGATGAACTGACTTGCCAAAGGGAAAGTTAGTGACGGTCTAGACACCTGGGCATCTGCAGTTTCCACCACAGTGTGGCATTTCCCTCTGATTTGACCTCTTCCTTTACCTGGAGGTTCCATGCCTGCCCTGGTTCTAATGTTCTGGAATGTGGTTATTAATAATAGTCACAGTTCTTTTGTCTATACCTGCCTTGTCCCTGAAGAACTGGGTTGGCTACTTTTCTTGAAGGAATTGACTCAGGTATTAGTAAGGGATGAAAAGGGAAGAAAGAAAGAGCTTTTCCAGGATCCCAGTGTGGCACCATCTGTTCCTGGTAAGAGCGTAAGAAGGTTCTTAGCCTTAGCCTAGAAGCTGGCAGCTGTAAATGAATGTGCCAGGGTGCTGGGTTGGGAAGATATCAGCTTAAATCTGGCCTCTGCCACACATTAACTGTAGTATTTTGCAAGGCTGAGCAAGGTTTCCTCATCTATCACAGGAGAATACTCATACCTACCTCACAGACTGATTGGGGAATTTGATTAAGTTGTATACGCCCAGCACAATAGCTGGCCTGAAGCGGGTCCTCAGCAATTCTTTGGAAATTGGAACCTGAGAGATCTGGGCTGATTGGACATCGATGATAATAACACTGTGGGAGGTGTTAATAGGAACCACTAGAAAAAGGATTCTGTGGTCAAACAAGTTTAGGAAACTCTGTATTAAACAAATTTCTCCTTGGTAGGGCTTCTGAGAGCCTTTAGTATGTGAGTGTGCAGTGTAACTCTCTAGGAGGGGGCTACTGTAGGCGGGACGCCTTGATGTTTAAGAAAGAAGGAAGATTTGCCTACTGATTTTCTAAGCGCTGGGCTGGCTAGAGGCTTCTCTGGACCACTCTAGCTGAGCCTGTGTGCAGGTATGCAGGGCGCCTTCTGGAGGTGTGTGGGGCATGGTCCATATGACTGTCCACAGTGGCCCTGCTTGTACGTTCAGCCTCTCCTCCAGAGTCTCTGAAGTCCTGGCCTCTTGTGCCCTTTCTCAGTTCACTGCAAGGGAGAAGAGGTTGGGAAAGGACTGGGAATTGGGAAGGGGATACAATAGAGAGTGATGGGGTGCAGTAGGTCATTTCTGAAATAGCCAAAATGTAGGAGCTGTCCTTTTGGCACAAGCTGGAGAGAGGTACAGAGTTGGTCTGTTCCCGTCCCTTTGACAGTGACTTAAAGTTTATCTAGGGCAGCTCCTTTATTTGAGGAAGGAATTTGGAGGAAGAAACTGAGGCCCAGAAGGAAGTGACCTGCGCAGGGTGCCAGGGCAGGTGCGGGAGTCCTCCTGAGAGCCTTTGCTTCCACGGATGTCTTTTGAACACTTTGGAAATTCAGAAAGGAAGACCACTATTTGTTAGAGAGAGTGCCCAGGGGAGGGACCTGCAGGGTCGCTGTATCCCAGGAGACTACTCCCCATATCTACTCCATCTTTGGACAGATGCAGGGAACCTAGACCAGGTAGTCCTTTGAGGTGAGAATGTGGAGAGATAGAGGGGTCAGGAGTTTTGGGGACTTATCACTTGTAATAAGGGCATCTCCCATTTACCAGTTTTGTGACTTGGGCAAGATACCCAACTTTTCTGTGCCTCAGTTTCCTCTTCTGTAAAAGAGGATAATAGAAGTAACCAACCTGAGAGGGTTGTTTTGAGGATTCGATGTGTATAGAATAGAAGCTGGCACAAAATAATCATTAATAAATGTCACCTTTCATGTCTGGCTGAAACTGAGAACTGTGAAGGGGATGGGAATGGGGAGTGCTGCACATCTGCGAAAAGCCTGGAAACCACCCCGCTATGAGGGCTTAGCTTTTAATAGAAACACAACAAGGTCTCCTCAGGCAGGGATAGGGCCTTGTTTCTCCCTCATCCTTAAATTCCCAGCTCACAGCTCAAGGCCTGGGACACAGTTGATGCCTAAATGTTTGCTGCCTACCTAGGGCTGCCTGAAGCTGAGCATTCTGACTTTTCCAGAAGCACACTCTGGTCCGGGTGCTGGTAAGAAAGTCAGGTGTGGTTCCTCTCAGGGAAAACCCAAGGCCAGGGAATGGAGGTGAGAAGGGAGTGGGCTGCTCCTGAGGAAAGAAAGCAGATGCCCCATATTCCCTTGAACACTGCCCGTCAGGAGCCTCTGAGGAAAACTGTTAAACCTCAACCAATAAACTAAATCCATTAGAATAGACTCAAAACAAAGCTGAGCCTGCAGACCCACTCTGCCTCCATTCCCCTAGCCTCATGAAAGGTGGTGGGAGTAGGACAGGGAAGGGGGGGCAAGCCATGCACCTCAAGTTCCTTTTGATCTTGTTGCTGTTGAGGCCAAGCCCTGGGATTCTTTTCCAGTCACATTGCCCCAGCCTGGGGAATGTAGCTTGACAGTGCCCACCTAAGGGTGTACAGGTATGTCTCTGTCCCCCCCCGGCACACAAGCCAGGTAGGCAGAAAGGGTGTCCCCATGCTCTGCATGGCAAGGCCTCACACAGGCCCCATCAGTTCTGCTGGGCTGCGTGTGCCTGAGCTGCTTCTCCCGGTTCTGCTTCTTGTGTATATTTGCAGGGAAGATGTTAACACTTCCTAACAAGCCTTTGTGTTCATCTAATCTCTGCTGTTTAACCTTTGACTCCCCCCTATTATCAGTGTCTGCCACCTTTGCTGGCCAGACCCAGGGCCCCAGGAAGAGCCCTCAGCTGGGCTGGCTAGGAAGAGGATGAGGCCGGCATTCCACCCCAGTTTGCAGGCAGATGGATCGCCTTTCCCTGGGGCAGAGCTTTGGAAAATAAAGCAAACTTGTGGTGCCATTAGGATCCCCCAGCCCCCACTCCTTTTGAACTGTCAGCCTTTAAGTAAACATTCTTTTCCGGCCATGGGTCCCAGCACCTTGGCGGGGAGTGAGGAACCTGGGAGGAGAGGGGCCCTGAGAGCCTCCACTAAACTGAGGGATTTGGGCAGGGAGAACGGGGTAGAAGTGCTGCATTGATGTCAACTCTCTGAGTCCCTGGGGCATCTGAGCTTTTGAAGTGGACTCGGGGTAGCTGTCACCACAAGGACCAGGCCCCTCTGAAGTATTAAAAGCCCCATCGTCTCCAGGCCCCTCACTTGAGTTTGTTTGTACCTGCAGCATTTCCCTCCCCAGCCCACACAAATTCTGCAGCAGCAGTGATGCCATGCCACTGGCCAGAGCCTAGGCTACACTTCCACCAAGGAAAATGCCAAACGGGCCTATTGCTAGAGATGAGGAGGCCATTCTTTGTGCTCTGGTGTAACAAGCACCACACCAGGGGCAAGGAGCTTTAATCCTGACTCCACTGAGAGACTGTGAAACCAGGCAAGACATTTCACCTCGTTGAGCCCGAGTTTCCTCTTCAGTAAACGAGGTCAAATTTCCTGCAAAACAACATCTAGTTACACACCTTATGGGCTGGGTGTTGCTATCTGGGTTTTTTTGTTTTGTTTTGTTTTGTTTTCACTAAAAGGGATCATTAATCTCTGGACTGGCACCTGCGGATGATAGAGAGCGTGTGTGGTGTCTGAAAATGGAAGAGTGGGGCCAGCAAAGTAGTCCAGAGCCTGGGAGATCCAGCTTCCATGATGAGTCACATGGTCTGTCCTCTTAGGGAGATTTCTCCTTGTGGATGTACTTCCCTCTCTGGCCTGCAAGTAGAGTCAGGCCAACAAGGCCTTGAAAGATCCCAAAAGAGGAAAACGTATGTAGCTGAGGCCTTCAGTGGAAGTCCATGTAAATGGCAACTGTCACTCCCCGTTGGGGGACAGCCCTACATGTCCTTATTCTGTCCCTTATTAGCACGCATGTCCCATTTTATTGGGCTTGCCTGAGTTGTGTATTCCAGGAGGCTTCTTCTCCATGTCTTTGGGAGTCCTGAAATTGAAGTGTGAGTCACTCTAATTCTCGTCTAATCAAGGAATCACGACTATTCCTGCTCTTCTACTGCTAGACTGGCTATAAGGCCTTTCACCTTTTCTTTCTAGAGCCACTAAGTTCTAAAATACTGGTGTTTTAACTGGTTTCTCTTCTTCCTCTTTCGCTGTGTGGAAGGTGTTAGAGAACTGTGTAGAAGCTTGGCAACAGAGGGCCTGATGCCCAACTCTTGGGGTCACCATGCTGGGTATCCCCATGGCCTCTTGTCCCCACAGGTACTACAAGAAGTTCTCCATTCCTGACCTAGACAGATACCAGCTACCTCTGGATGATTCCTCGCTGAGCTTTGCTCATGCCAACTGCACCCTGATCATCTCCGTAAGATTCACCCACACTTCTTGGCTGCTGCGTCAGGGAGAGGCTCCCTCTTTTCCTGCCCACTTCCCATCCCATAGGAGTCCCCAGTTCCAGCCTCTACCCCTAGGCTGTGCTTGCTAGAGAACAGGCTTCTCTACTTGAGCATGAGGAGAGCAGGGTAGGGGCTCAGGGAGGAGCCTGATCTTATAAATCACAGTTGGAAGAGGATAGAGGGTGATGGGGAGGGGTGGAAATCACAGGCCTGGGGTTTTGGTCCAGTGCCTGCTCCTACCCAGCCAAGTGACCTTGAGCAAATCATTCAGTCCTGTAGGCCTCAATTTCCTCATCTTCGAATAAAGGGATCAGAAGGGGCCCCAACTGGCCCTGTGGCTTGGCGGTTGAGTGCGCGCGCTCTGCTGCTGGCGGCCGGGGTTCAGATCCTGGGCGCGCACCGACGCACCGCTTCTCCGGCCATGCTGAGGCCGCGTCCCACATATAGCAACTAGAAGGATGTGCAACTATGACATACAACTATCTACTGGGGCTTTGGGGGAAAAAAAAAAAAAAAAAAATTATAAAAAAAAAAAAAAAAGAAGGGGCCCCAAGTGTGGTGTGTGCATGCACACGTGCATGTGTATAGGGCGGATGTGACTGAATTATGTCCTCTTCTGGCTCCATCCACAGTACCTGAAGCCAAAGGAGGTCCTGGCGGCCGAGTCAGAACTGCAGAAGGAGCTGAAGAAGGTAAAGACGGTCCACAGCAGTGATGGGGACTGCAAGACCCAGTAGTGGACCCCTGAGCCTGCACCTCTGGTGTGGAGGGTGGGTGAGGCTCTTCCTGTCAGCCTGTGAGTCTTCAAGGCTTGGGCCTTCCTGGTGCAGGAGCAGCCTCTTCTCTTCTAGAAGCTATCCAGGCTCTGTAAGAACTGGCCCTTGGGGCACTCCTTGCCCCTGCATCATGGTCTTATCTCCTAAGTAAAGTCATTCTGAGTCGCCATCGGTGGACTGCCCTCTTGTTCACCTCTGTATGCTCCTGTCCCCAGGAAGGGTGCTGGTGACAACATTCCCTTCTCTATCCTCCAGACCTTCAACATAAAGCCTTCTGCATAAAGGGAGGCGTGGACTTTAGATGGAGCCCTGACCCCGTCTTCCCCAAACTGTTTGCATAAACTCAGAGGAAGACTAGGCTGGAAGGGACCCTGTGCTACCTTAGCTTGCAGAAGTGGCCCAGAGGAACTCCCTAAGATAGGGGTCGGTGAGGGAGAAGTTTTTAAAATGCAGAAACCTTGGAAACAACGCGGGATATTAAGACATTGTGGGTGAAAAGCCAGATTAAGGGTGGTAGCATTGCGAAGAGTGGGTGTGTGTTGGGGCAGGGTGAAGAAAGGTCACCACAGATGGATAGCAGCGTAGCTCCCCGACAACCCAGAGCCCTTCCCTGGTCCCCTCTCCATACCCCAGAGGTGACACCCACCCCAACACTAGGGCCAAAGGGGTAGGTGGTAATGAGAAGTTTTCCTGAAGAAAAGAAACCTTTTTTCTTTGGGATACTGAGCCATGAGGTTGGTCTTACCCTTTCCCCAGCATGCCCACCCCCAAGTATGAATCTGTTGTTCCCTCTCCCTGGGGCCTCCCAGGACTCCCCAGCTGGTGAAGAACCAGATTTGTGAACAATCAAGCTTTATTTTTACAAAAATGAACATTGTAGCATGTCTCAACAGCCGGCCTAAGATTGGGCTGGCTTAGAACTCACTCAAAACTGTGGGGTTCCCTTCGTCCTTTCTTGGTTTCAAAGTGAGACCAGGCCACAGTGCCCCAAGAATGAGTCCCCAGCCCCAAGAGCTTGGTCAAGGGTGAGGTCTGACTGAGGAGGTGGGGGCCGGTGCCAGCCAGGGGTATTGATTGACAGCCTCACCCCTCCTTCCAGGGAAGGGGCAGAAAGAGACCAATTGGGAAGGCTGTACCACCTCACCTCACTAAGCTGTCGCGGCTCTAAGAAGGGGTGGGGTGCAGGGTGGGTCTCTCCAGGCCAGATCCTTGCTCTGGCCAACAGGGAAGCAAGCCCTAGCTGGGTTCAACTGCGCTCTCCCAGGTCCCTTCTCTCCAACTGGTTCCTGGGAGGGACTGCGCCTCTGGATAACCCCAAATCCCCAGGAGTCCAGCCTTTATCTTACAGTGCCTGAGTACTGTGGTCACAGGTCTAGCAGCACAGGCACAGTGGGGGAGTTGGAGGGGGAGGTATCACTGCACCCTCCAGGCAGGAGAGGTCCCTGAGTAGCTGGCTTCCCTGGCCCACAGGCTGGGGTGGCCCTGACTGTCACGGGTTTTGAAAGTCCAGGACGTGGAGGTTATAAGACAGCGCAGCATAGAGATGCCTGGTGGTGAAGCGTAGGCAGTACACAGGACTGCTGAGGGGCGTCGATGTCAGTGGGAAGGCCTGCAAGGGAGGGCACAAGAATGGCAAGAGCATCCCAAATGGGAGCTGGGGGAGCCCAAACCCAGGATTCCGCAGCCCAGTGCAATGAGACAGGCCATTGTAAGCTTCCTCCCACCCTCTCCAGGCATACCCACTCCCAGATGCAGCCCGTAATAACGAGTCCTGGCATCCTGGAGGCATGAGGTAAGCTGGACGCTTACATGTAGGCAGGCCCTTTGGCGCCGGTCCCACAGTCGCACAACGCCATAGTAGGAGGAACCAGTGGCCAGCAGGTGGTTCCCATCTGTCTGCAAGCAGTACAGGGTGCTGTCGTGGGGCTCCTCCCACTCCATGACACACTTCCTGTCCAGGAAGAGGAGATGCAGGGACAGTTCAGGGGTGCCCTCCATCTCCACCCAAGCTTCCCCAGGGGCCTTAGGGAGCCATTCTATCTGGGAGAGAAGCTGAATCACCAAATTCTTTAAAAACCAGACTTAATGGGGGAAAGCCTCCTTGGTAGAGGTCTCTTTCTCACCAAGCCCCAGACCCCAGGGCATATTATGCCCTCATTTGTGCTTCACACGGCCAGCTACATGTCACAGGACTTATGAGGCAGAGACATAAGAAAGGCTGGGACAGAATGCTGAGGGTCAGCACCCTTTCGGATCCCGAGGCTCTTATCAGGGCCTGATGGCTGTGGTCTCCCGGGCTACAGGACCAGGGCTGCTAGGGTGGGGGGGGTCTACACTTGATCTGACCTTGCTGGCTGCTCCCTACCAGCCTCTAACATGGAGTCTCTGTGCCCTCTCCCATGGACCCACCAGGACTGGAGGGAAGGCTTCCCACCACCTGTCCTCTGCCAGCATACTCACCGGACACTGGCACGGAGGTCCCAATAGCGAACATAGGTGTCGTAGCCACAGGACAGGAGTGTGGAAGGGGACTCATACATGACATCCAGCACCCCAGCCCCTGGGGGAAAGTCACTGCCAAGGTGTGTCATCAGCTGCCCACTAGGGAGAAAGGAGGGGCAGAGGATGAGAGGCTGTCCCACCTTGGCTCACACACATTCTTTTAACCTTCAAATGGCAGCAGTCCCTGGGGAAATGCAGCTCTCCTTCCTGAGCTAGAATTAGACTCCCTTAGGAATAGGGCCGAAGGAGGAGATGCCCCAGACTCCCGCCCCTCTCACTCCAGTCCTGGTCCCTGGCCCCCCCCTGCCCCCCGCTAAAGGCCTCAATCAGCCGCCAGCAGCCCCTCCATCACACCTGCATGCTGGCTGCCCGCCGCCCAGCCACTCCTCCTCAGGAGGATGAATGGGCCTTGCTGAAGGGGTCAGCCCCCCTCCCACACACACACTTGGTTACTTTATACTCCTTGATCCTGCAGGTCATGCAGTTCTGAGCTGCCTGAGTCCAATGCCTTAATTCCTGCCTGTAATCTGGGGCTCAAACCTCATTGGGGATAAAGACCACACAAAGGGAGAAGGGGAGTCCCAGGAGATGTTAAAACAAGTAAACACCTTTGTGTCTGGGGAGAGAAATCGCTGAGAAAGCAGCTTAGCGGGCTGGTCCCTGGTGTTCCTGGCCTGGCTGGCCCCCAGCCCAGGGCTAGCACGCCTCTGTGATCACAGCCCCCAGCCTGCTGGGCTCCAGCTTGCTCCCCCCATCCTCGCCCCTCCCGGTGGCCAAGAGCAGATTACTGAGAAGAACAATTTCTTTGTGACTGTGTAATTCCCTCCGTGACCGCGGCAGTGGGCAGACCCCTTACCCCGATGCCAGACCCCTAGCAACCACGTAGGGGGGCCTCCTGGCCCTAGCAACTACCCCTCAACATCAAGTGCACCTGCTAATCCCTGTGGCTAGGGATGGGTAGAAGCAGTGAGTTTCTGCAGAATGACTGGGGGGAATGAAGAAGAAGGGCACCCTCCAGGCCCCATCCCTCAGCTTTACCCAAGAGCTTCTGGGCTCTCCTCCATGGCAGACAAGAGAAAAAAGGCCATGGACACTTCACAGGGTCACCCAGGTAAAAGGCCCCCAGCATGGGGTGGGGAGGACTTCATGGTCTCACCAGCCCAGATTTGGCCCAAGCAGTGTTCACTTAAGGGCTTGAGACAGACAAGGCTGACAGCCACATGTCTGAATGTGGACCTCAGCCCCAGTCCTTCCACTTCACACAGACTGACCCTCAACCTCCCTTCTCCTCAGTGGAGCCACCATCTTCCCTGAAGACTAAAGGAATAAAGGAGCCACCATCTTCCCTGAAGACTAAAAGAATTCCTTTCTGCCCACTCTGCCTTTCCCCTTGAGCCCTGGGCAGTGAGGTGATCCCCAGCAAGGAGCACTGTTGCTGTCCAGTGGGGATTAGGCCCTAAGTCAGCACCCTTGCCCCCAGCCTCCTTCCCAGGGAAGTGCTCTTCTTCCCATCTAGCATAGAAGATTCTAAGCCTCTATATGTTGGGGGATCTGGAGAGGGATCAAGCAGTAAGCCTTCTTCACAGGTCAGCATTTCCTAGAGATCACTGACCTCAGCTCCCAGGAAGTCCTGCCTTCCCAGATGGGCCACCAGCCATGATTCACCCCATCTCCACCCCCACCCCAGGCAGGCCAGAGCCCCAAGAGGGGCTGGTCTCTCTCTCTCTCACACACAGGTAACATGCACGTTTGTGCACACCGGGTAGGGGCTGTTTTGCTCCACAGTTCCTCCTTCCAGATTTGGGGGCCCTGCCCCCTCCATTAGTGAGGACTTCAGGAATGACTGAGGAGGAGCTCTCCCCTTTAATCTACAGAAGTAATTTCATGTTTGTCTGTTTGAAATAGAAGATGAAAGGCAGTGGGGGTTGGAGGGGCGTGAAGCCCAGAATGGCTCTACCTGCCCACCCCTGGTCCCAGGGTTCAGAGGGAAGGAGAGCTGGGCACCCACAGGCTGGGCAGGGTCAGCAGTGTGAGGGCCACACCCAGACGGAGTTGCCAACCTGGGTCGCTGCCCTGGCATCCGAGCCACCACTGGAAAGTGTCATGCCACAGTGTCTGCAATAAGAAACAGAACCCTACCCTCTCAGGGATACCCAAGGGCCCGAGTGAGCACTAGCTCCTGGAGGCTGGGACAAGTCCCCAAAGCCCCTCGTCTGTCAGCCTAGCCTGGCCAGGGGCTGAGTAGTTTTTACACTGTTCTCTGATTCTCTGAAACGGCCACACACACTTTAAATGGGCCAATAAAAAGATACAATTTCTTTTGCCTCTGGGCCCGGGACCCTCGAGGCTCTGTTGTGCAGTGCCCGTGAGGTTAAGTTCAGAGCGTAAACTGACACACCAGGCTCTGGGAAATGGCTCGTCTCTTCAAATAGCGGCCCAGCGGTGCCATAGGAGCCCTGCTGGGGCTTTGATTTGGGAAAACAAACAGAAATGGCACCGTGGGCCCTCGTGGCCCCCACCCCAGGACCAATTTAACTAGAAAACTCTAGCTCAACCACTCTGGTGGAAGGAGTGACATCAGCCGACAATAGCCCCAAACTTTGGGGGGAAGGGGGACAAAACAAGCTGTCTCCTCAGCCCCTCCTCCCAGGCTCCTTTTCTTACTGCAAGTGTGTTCTTGTAAAAACGATTAGATTGCAATTTGTATAACGTGGTGACCCCCAAATTCAGACATTTCACCCCTTTTCTCTGGAAAGAATGTTAAGAATGCTTCTCGGCCTCTCACTGTAGGGGGCAGGAGGGGGGTACAGAGCCTTGGCTGTCGCACAACTTGTGTGGGAACAGCGCTGCTGCTCAGAGCCCCAGGCCAAGACAGGAGCAAGGGCCGGGTCTGTCACTATAGAGGGCCAGACAAAAAGTCCATTCCCTTCCAACTCCTGTGCACAAAGCCCAGGCCTCCAGGAGCCGCTGAGGCTGGGAGGCCGAGCCTGACTCCAGCAATTCTCTCTCAACCCAGGGAAAGATAAAGACAGATGGGGCCGCCCCTGTGAGCCTGATGAATGCGTCCCAGGCCGGGAGGGCAGCCTGAAGGAGACCTGTTCCCGCAGCCTGGCTGTGTGCAGCCTCCCTTGGGAGCCCCCAGAGTACCTGGGCAGGAAAAGCAAGCAGAGAGCGGCCTCATCCCAGGGACCCTTGAGGAAGGGATCAGGTGAGGGAATCAGGTCTCCCTGGCCCAACCCACCCTGCTGCCCAGGCATAGGCAATTCCACTGATGCTGGAGGGAAGAGGGAGTTTAGAGAGGAACTTCCTGACAGGGAGGAGGAAATTTAAATAAGATAGTGGCTAACTGGAGGTAGGTGCTGGCCCTGAAGACCCAGATGTCCCATCTGGGAGAGGCCCTGAGTGCCAGGCTAGAGTTAGGCACAGAGGAGTAGTCCCTGGCAAGCCCCCCACCCCCACTAGCCTGGGCCCTGCAGAGCTTGGAAGCCTGGTGCCCTGCTTCACTCCCTCCCTCCTTCCCCTGAGTCCTCTCCTTCCAGCCTCCACACGCCTCCCCTGCCTGGCCTTCCTGAGCTCCCAACACAAGCCAGGGTCCATAGAAAGTCCTCCTGTGCTCAAGTGCCCTGAGATACAATACCCCTAGCTCTCACTTCCCAGCTCACATCTAAGAATGCCCATGGCTGCCACACCATTTTACAGCCACTGTTTACATACTGGGTTCGTGATGATGCTCCCTGGAGAGCCTATGGGTGCTCACTCCTGCATCTGTTTGTTTGGGTGTGAGGACACCCCATCTGGCATGTGCAACCCCAAAATGCAACAGCTTTTTTAGGGGGGGGAGGAAGGGTGACAAACAGTTCACCATCCTACATCTTCTCTGCTCCCAGGGGACAGATGGCCTGAAGGTATAAGCTAGGCACAACATTGGTCGCTAAGAGAATGGGAGGTTTTTTCCTCCCTTCTTTCTACCCCCTCCTTCCTGCTCTTCCTTTCTTTGATTAGCAACCATTTATTGAACACCTTCTGTATACAAGGCATTGTGCATAATAGAAACTGCAGGGAGATGTGAGGTGTGACTCTGAAGGAGACATTGTCCTCAAGAAGTTTTCAATCCAGTGAGGAAGAGAAGTCTGTCATGTATCCAACGAATAATACAAGGGGTGACTTGGTGGATACCAGGAGAGATGAAAGAAAATTTTATAAGAGGACAGGTAAGAGAACATTTCTGGCTGTGGGTATTAAGTGATTCTTCAGTGAGTGACAGGATTGTAACAGGCAATGACAGGAGAGGGGGGATGGCCCAGGTGAAGGACCAGCAACAACAAAGGTGCAGAACTGGGGCACCTGGTTTGGCTGGAGGCTTGGGTATGTAAGGGGAACAAGCTGGTGGGATCTGGCTTCCAGACGGTGGTGGGCCTTCAGGTGTACACTACTCAGCTGGCATGAACTCCACGAGTGGCAGACAGCCATGAGGCTTTTGAGCAGGGAGTGGTTGTCCTAGTCCAACCCTGTGGTGGGGAGGCTGAGAGACTCAAGGAGGCAGATAGGTCTCAAATATAACCACAGAGTGGTAGAGATGAGGTCAAGCCCATGGAAGCTTCAGCTGCCCCAGCCCCATCAGGTGAGAGGGAAGGACCCTTCCCAAGCACACAGCCTCTCACATGCATGTGTGTGCGCATGCACAGCCCCCCAGCACCCGCCCATGCACACGTGTTCAGACACAATGGCTCAAAGGCCAGGCAGCCGGGCAGCCCACTTTGTACTGCTAACAAGAGGACTGTAATTACAGGAAGGGGCAGCCGGGCAGATAAAAGGATACAAAATTTCAACATCTGTTGCCATAAAGGGATAAGGAGAAGTGAGACACAAAGTATCAGTTTGGTGTCAGCAGGCAGAGAGCCAATTTCAAAGAGTTCAGGGGGACAGAGGGGAAAAGAAAGAAAAAGGAAAGAGGTAGGGAGAAAGAAAGAAAAAGAAAGAAATTACAGGGTTCCTTAAAGAGGTAAAGAAAATGAAAAAAGCTGTCAGTAATACTTTCAAAGGAGAAGGCAAGTACTTTAAAGAGGGGCAATTCCCGTAATCACTCTGACCAAGGGCTA